GTCAATTTTAGGCAAGGGAAAGCTATCCTTAGGGCATGCCTTGTTGAGGTCGGTGTAATCTACGCACATCCTCCAAGTTCCATTCGTCTTCTTGACAAGAACTACATTAGCCACCCAATAAGGGTAGTAACATTGCCGAATGAAACCGACATCTAGCAGCTTTTTAACTTCGGCTACGGTCGCCTGATTCCTCTCTTCTTCTGAAGAACGGGTCTTACAGCTGGGTTCACAACCAACTTATGAACTGCTAAGTCTGGACTGATACCCGACATCTCATGAACTTCAAAAGAAAACACATCTCTGAATTCTCTTAACAGATTTACCAAGTCATCCCCAAGCAAGCCTATGGCCATAGTGCCCACTTTGACTATCCGATCAGGCTGGTCTGGGTCAAGCACTATGCCCGTATGAATGATTGTCGCCCGATTGTTGCCTTAACTCTTCTGGTCAGCCGATAGTCATTAGCTGCTATGCTTTCTCTTTCTGAATCGACTTGCGCTTTTTGCCGACCTAGTATGCTTGGAGTGACCCTTCTTCAAAATTTTGCTCGGACGCTCTTCCTGGTCCATGTGTTGTTGGCTTCACGGCCATCTGATTACATTCCTTATCCATCTTTTGGTTTCCCTGAATGGAACCTATCTTCCCAACTGACCGCTCAAACTTCATCAGCATCAAGTGAGGGACGATTACTGCCTTTTCTGATGTCAAAGTTGGGTGGATGAGGATAACATTGTAGCCAGCAAGCTCCTTGACAACTAGGAAGCGGACGACCATGTCCCTTCCTTCTCCCTTCTGCCCAAATCGGACGGGCAAGTTTATTCGTCCGACCGGGTGAATAATACTCCCACCGAACCCAACCAACGGGTGAGAGATATCTTATAGGGGGTCCTCTAGGAACTTCAGATTCTTCAAACATATTGGACTGATAATGTCGGTCGAGTTGCCTATGTGTATTAGCACTCATCCGACTTATAAATTGGCAACTTTCAAGATGAACACCATGGGGTCATTGTGAGGGGCCTTGATCTTGCCTCGGTCTGCCTCGCAGACCGTTACTTCTGGAAAGGGCTCAGCCTTTACCCCTTTAGTGTGCATCACATTCTCAAAATTCCAAGCATCTTGCTTGATTCCTTTCATGGTCGGGCCGCATGCAGCAAAGCCGCCTGATATAACGGCCACAAACCCTGAATCCGTGTTGTTTCCATCATCATCTTTTTCCTTTACTTTCTTCTTCTTGGATTTGTTATCTGTCCGAGAGTAGGTGAATTTGGACTTTAGAACGTATGAGTTGAGCATGCCCTTCTCGTCTAGCTTATCCAGCAGCCTCTTCAAATTGTTGCAGTCGTTCGTGTCATGCCCCACATCCTTGTGGTAATGATAGTACTTGTTCTTGTTTTTGTACTGGGTCGGCCCTCTCAAAGGCTGAGGCTTCTCAAACTCGAACTTGTCTTTGATCTCCATCAGAATTGAATAACAATCTTTGTTGTACTCATACTGAGGCTCGTACGTCTTGGCTTTCTTTGACTTCGTTTGTTGGCAATCGGCCACCCAAACTTTCTTTCTTTTGTTGTTTCCTTCCTTCTTTTTGCCGGCCGAGTCTTGCTGAGAAGATTGTTTCTTCTCGGCCCCCTTGGCCGGATCTTCTGATTTTGTAAGAGAACAAAAATTAGTTGCCTCAATATATGATTCGGCCTCCCGTAGAACACCTGCGTATGTTCGAATCTTTTTCCTGATCAGATCAAACTTGAAACCATTATGCCTTAAACCTCGAAGGAACTCCGAGTAGGCCATTTCATCCGGCAGATTCTGAATTTGAGCTTTCTCTAAGTTGAATCTCTGGACGTACGAACGCAACCCGTCTTTTTTTCCTTGGACGATGGTCGCCAAGTTAAGACTATTCTTTCGAGGTGGAATATTGTAAGAAAAGTTTCCAATAAATAATAAGCTGAGAGTTGTGAAGCAATTAATGCATCCGGCCAGCAGACTGTTGAACCAGTATTGTGCCACACCCTTAAAGGTAGCTGAGAAGCATTTACACTAGGTGGCATCATCTACACTTTGCAAGTACCTCAAATTTCTGTACAAAGTAACATGCTCTTTCGGGTTACCCGTACCATCATAGGCACCCACGAGTACGCTCTTCACTTTAGCTGGTTGAGGAGAGTTGAGAATTAATGAGAAAACGGAGGCGGCATGTCACCAATATTAAACAAGCGCATTTTCCAATCAATAGGCTGAGGTTGTGCGGCCGGTTTGCCCAGGTATGCTGCCTAGTCATACAACTGGCCATACTGTCTGTACTGCCCATAAACAGGGGAGTAGGCGGAAGAATTGCACCATAATTTTGGGACATTTGAAATTGAAGTGGTTGAGTTAAAGGAACTAGAGTTAGAGTACGGTGAGCTTGACTCCTGCTGGTCCTGACCGAGCTGGTATGCTTGGAGAGGGTGTGGTTGGAGAAATCATCTAGCATGGTAGGAGTAGAGGTAGTGTCCGAGTAGTGTGCCTGCTCCTGCCGCTTGTGCCGAAGATAGTCTCTAGCATCCTTCTAGCGCTAGGACCGCTCATTTGGATGCCTATGAGGCTGCTTGGTCTGCCCCCGAGCCAACTGTGTTTTCTCAAGTAGCCTAGACCAGTTCATCCGGGGGCACCCTTGGTGACCTCGCATGTCATCTGAATGGGGTATTCCCTGCATCCTTGGTGTTGGCCGTCTTGCCTTGGGGTTTCTTTCAGACACCCTCTCCTTCTCTTCTAGACGACTGTCTAGAAGAAGAGGGGGTCTTACCCTCAAGCTCCTTCTGAAGCTTTTGCAAGGCAGCCATCAAGGAAGACAAGCAGTTATGACCGGGGGATCCTCCGCCTCATGGAATGAAGAGGTTAGAGGATCGCTAGTGTTGATCCTGGCAATGATATTCTCTACGTGCCCGTCCTCACCGAGACCAGGTGTCTGCCCATATTTAGCCATTTCAAACGTGTATCCCCACAGACGACGTCAAATGTTTCGGGGTTTTTTGGAATCCCTCGGGATACAGGTCTTGAATATAGCCGGACGGTCTTGGACACCTGCAAAACAACGAATATTTTGGTTGACGGAATATTCGCCTCCGGTGATCAAGTTAGTGACCGGAAAGCGAGGTAATGTAGAGAGAGAAAGTAGAGAGAAGTTGGAGCTATTCAATGCTCTTGAATGACATGTCTTAATTCACCCCTCCTATCATAAATGATTGGGGTATTTATAGGGGTAGGAATGTGTGTCATCTAGGGTTTGATGACCTAGAACGGTGTGCTCTGATTGGCGGCGCAATCAGATGAGGGCACGTGTCCAAATATAGTTCCTAATCAAAAAATTATATATAGAGAGTTCCTAAAATGTATAAAATTTGAGTTTATAACATAAATATGTATATATGATATATTAATGTGATTAGGTGTGTTATATTCACTTGATTGTAATTTGAATTTATTTTAACTTAATTGAACTTGTCTAAACTTATATAAACAACTATGAATTTATCTGAATTTATATAAACATATCTAAATTTATCTGAACTCATATCAATATGAACCTGGCCTATCTTAATTTATTTGAAGTTATCTGAACTTATTTAAATATATAAGAAAATATCTTAATGATCTAAAATAATTTGAACTTATATTAATTTATCTAAACTTTTCCAAATTTATTTGAAATTATCTGAACTTATCTTAACTTATCATAATTATTAGAACTAATCTGAATATTTCAAAAATTATCTGAACTTTTCTTAATGTATCTGAAACTATCCAAACTTATCTGAATTTATTTGAACTAATTTGAATTTGTGTGAACTAATGTGAATTTATATAAACTTATCTACAACTATATGATATTATCTGAACTTATAATCTTATAATAAAAGAAAATAAGGTGAATTGAACAAACCTTTATCTGAACATACTTTAACTTATTAGACTTTATTATAGCTTATTTTAGTTGTAATTTATTTAAATTCAGATAACCTTTATTAAGGTTTATTGAAACTTATATTAGTTATACGTCAAACTCAAGTAATATTTATTCATTATTGACCCTTAGTAATGTGTCCTTACAAAATAAGGTGTTAGAATTATTATGAAGCTAACGTAAAATAAATGTGTTGCGATAATTACGAAATTGAGTGGTATAACTTCATTAACAATAACAAAATTCAAACATTACTAGTCTTTGAAAAACTTGTATTCTTAATCACAATTTAGATACTAATATATAATAAACAATCTTGATACTTCTAATAATCAAGTTGCCAATGATTTGACGATGATAAATAGCCGCAAAGACAACGATAAACGCAAAACGGTAAGGAAAAAGACATTTTACAATGATGTGATAATCACCCGATCAAAGCGATAAATGATCATTTTCAGCAATTCCTTGAGTTGTCAATCTTATAACAATTCTAATAAGCCAATACGAAACTTAATTAAATAAAACCCAACAGACTATATATAAATGAAAATCTCCAATAACAAAACTGACATTCCCTGTGTTTTTATATACCTAAAACGACTTGATCTGAGATTGACCCGAATTCAAATTAGTCGACTCAAAACTGAAACTAAAGTAATTTTAACTGAGAAGGAGCTAATAATCGAAATAACCAAATTCATCAAATTTTAACCGGAACTTAATTGATTTGAACCGAGATCCAATTTTATTCGAAGTGACCCGATCCAAAGTCAAATAAATCCATTTTAACCCAAACAAACCCGATAAAATTCGGATTCGAGTTCATCTTAACTCGATATGACTACTCGACCCGAATTTGGCTTGACCCAAGTTTGATTTGTATCCGACCATGTTTGAACTCAACTTTAACCTGAATCTAATTAAGCTCAACATGATTTGATTTAATTTGTTAGATTAAAATGACCCATTATTACCCGACCCAAACATCCCGAGCCGTCGTGGGTTAACTCAAACTCTATCTAGTTACCTAATTTGACACCTTTAGGCACATTAGAGTATTAGTAGAAGTAGCAATTCGAGTATTCCTTTCCTTCCCCAATTTTTCCATTCAAAGTATAGTTGTCATCGTTGAAGCTTCGGCTATTGCAACAATGGAGGAAGAACCAACCTCAACACCCAATACATCTGCTCCAGAAATCAACCCAACCTCTCTCTTCCCCATAAATTCCGACACCACCGTCGTCACCACCGCCACCACTTCCCAATGGCTAAGCAGTTCTAGCTTCACCACCGACCTCTCCGTCATCAACGACACCGTCGCCGCTCTTCAAACTTCTAAAAACACCGACGACACCGACGACGAAGATTTAGCTAAACGAGCATCACCAATATTAACGAAGCCGTCTTCAACCTCGTATGAGCTTCTGGAATCTTCTGAATCCGACAGAAATGGTAGAGATTATTCGGAGAATAAGAGGGAGAAGAAGAAGAAATCCAACAAGTCGAAGAAGAAGCAAAAGAGAGAGACTAAAGGAGGAGGTGCTGAATTTGAGCCGTTTGCATATGGTGGTAGAAAGTCTGGTGTTCGTGCTTGGGAGAATTCTGATACAAAACCCTCTAAGGATTATTATATTGATATTCGTGGCGATCGCGATAATTTGGCCTTTGGTTGCTTGTATAGGTAATTCTTTATCCTTCGCATTTTTATGCTTGATTTGTATTGATATTTGGTTGAATTTTGGGTTACATTAAGGTAAACTTCTTTATATGATTTTGGTGCAATTTGTTTATTTGTATATTGGAGATGGATTGAATGGAAAAATTGGGGAAGGCAAGGGATAGTCGAATTTGGTTTGATAGCTAGGAAGGAAAGAAACTAACATAAAATCGATTGTAATCGTTGTATTGGTGATTCTATAGTCCTAATGATGAAAAACTCATAAATCGATGGCAAAATAATGCAGCACATTGATTACAAGAGTATAAGATTCAGCTCTTAGTATAAGATACTAAAGAACTCTATAACTAAAGTATCTTAGACTCTAAGTTCAACTTGGAATTCAAACTAAATTCCACTGCAGCTGTAATTGCCAACTTGCTTCCAGTTTTGTGACTAAGAATTGAAGCTAGCTCCTTGTTGAAGCAAACATGTATCAACCGTCTTCATTTTTGCCCTTAAAAGTAATGTGTTTTAGGAATTGTGTTGTAACACTTGATTTATGCCAACCTTTTTAAAATAGAAAAATTAGAAATAATAATCCCAACTTTCATGAATTTTGCTAGAATAATCCCGACTTTGGATTATTGTGAAATAATCCAAACTTTAGGGGTTCTTCTTTTTCTTCAATCCCTAACCGGTCAACAAAAGTCAATGACCTATTATATCAGGTCACTTGACACATGTTTGATTGGTCCAAATTTTTTTTAAAAAAAGTAATGAAAAACAAAAAAAAAAATAAAAAAAATCAAAAATCAAAAATCACAAACACCAGCCAGCCTCCCCTTCCCTAATGGCCACCAGCCCGCTGCTTGGCCAGATCGCCGCCGTCCGTGTCGGCCGACCACCCCTTTCCAACCGCTGACGTCACCACTTTCCTCCTCTGCCATTCCCCCATTCAACCACGAAGAAATCTCATCCCCCCGCTCGTAAAAACCCCAAACCGCCCTTTCCCCCATCTCGAAACCCTAGCGGCTAGGGTTTTCGATGGTGGGGGAAGGGTTTTTGGGAGTTTGGAAGAGTTTTAAAGGGAGTTTTGAGTGGTGGTGGCTGGAGAAGGAGTTTCGAGTGGTGGTTGCCGACGGAAAAGGAGGGGAGGAAGGTGGGTCGCATCACCGACGTTGGGGGAGGGGGGAAACCAGTGTTAGGGGAGGGGGGAATCCGGCGCGGGAGGAGGGGGAGTAGCAGCATCCGCCGGCGGCAAGGTTTTGGGTGGCCGGATTCGGGGTTTGGTTGGTGGTTTTTTTTTTAATATTTTTTTTACCAATTAACTCGTGATACGTGTCACATTAAAAAAAACAAAAAAAAATTAACCCATTCAACCGGTTATCGGTATTTGGGATTGAAGAAAAAGAAGAACCCCCAAAAATCGGATTATTCCAGAATAATCTAAACTTGGGATTATTGTAGCAAAATTCATGAAAGTTGGGATTATTATTTCTAATTTTTCCTTTTAAAATTATGATCATGTGGTAATGTAAAAAATCATCCCATTCAGACCTTGCATGCATGTAAGTTAACACAACTTCTTTTATACTTAAGACTTTCATTGCCTATTCTTAGCAGCAATTACAAAGGGAGGGTTGGGGGTAGCTGAAAGGGGAATGTTGTGGGAGGGAGTTAGAAACGTTTTGATTTGCTTTCTCTTTCTGAAAATTTTAGAGACAACAGAACCCGAATGTATTTGTGGTGGGTTCAAGTTATAGGATTTGCTATAAACATTGCCATTTGGTTATATTTCATCTTTGATAATAGATCGGAATTAGGAGCTTCAATGGAAATACGAGATTCTAAAGTTATGGCTTATAATTACCAGCCTAATTTTAATCAGTAACTCGACCAACTTGTGGTCACAATCTCATCACTTTGGTTTGGTGTGGGCAATTTTTTGTGTTTTATGGTAGCTCAATTTCTTATCTAGAGCAACTAGGAACCAAACTATTCAATGAATAATTATGTAACAAGCAAAGTCTCTAGGATATGGTTTGCAACTTTGCTAAACTACTTACAACTTAGCTTTTAGGAAAATAAGAAAGGGATTGACAGGAATTGTAGTTGGTTTAGGGAGGGGTGGGGGAGAGGGGAGCCTTGTAAAGGTTGGAAGTTTCTGATACATTAACAACTAGGGTTTTTCTGATATTCAACTTTTTCCATTGGGAAATTATGGTGACATATACTATTATAATTGGATATCTTAACTATAAGAGAGAACGAGGACATAACTTGTAAAGGGTATTTTAGTGATTTTATGCTGAATTCTTTATTTTAAGGGTTTGGAAGTTTGGGGCAGTGTGATTACTATTTTCAGATAGAGGAAATATATTGTCTCAAGTATCAAACTTGTGCTTGTGTCATCTGCTTACCATCTAATTTGTGTGTATTGTTTTGCTTGCTACAGGATGGATATTGGGCAATATAAGCTTCATGATACTACAAAAACTTCAATGATTGATTTCAAACGGCATTCTCGACCGAGTGATTGGGGTTTTCTTACTAGAGGGGAGCTTGATGCTGATGGATTAGATTCGAAACTGAAATCTAGTGGCCGTTATTGGTCTGCTAAGCATTCGGTCTTTGAACAACATAGGAATTTTAAGCGCATTCGAATTGTTGCTCCTGCGAAGCATGTTTATGTGACATGTGATGATTTTATTCCTTTTTTGGATGAAGATGATGATGATAGCTTACATTCCAGTGCTTCTGTGATTGTTGAGTCATGGGAAGATGAGGTGTTGCGGAAAACAAGAGAATTCAATAAAATGACTAGGGAGCACCCCCATAATGTAAAAGTATGGCTGGATTTTGCTGAATTCCAAGACAAAATAGCAAGTAAGCAACCACAAAAAGGAGCACGTTTACAGACATTTGAGAAGAAAATCAGTATATTAGAGAAGGCAGTTGAGTTGAACCCAGAAGATGAAGACTTGTTGCTTTGCCTTCTTAAAGCTTATCAGAAAAGAGATAGTGCCGATGTTTTTATTGGTCGATGGGAGAAGGTTCTGATGCAACATTCTGGAAGCTGCAAGTTGTGGAGAGAGTTTTTACGGGCTGTTCAGGGAGACTTCTCCACTTTTAAAGTATCTGAGATTCGGAAGATGTATGCTTATGCAATCCAAGCTCTTTATGCTACATCCAGGAACAGGAAGAAGCATAGGCAGGTTCTTACGTCCACTTTATGCTTGTGTTTTCCATTTGCATGTTTGCATCTGTGGGTGTAGCATCAGCTCTAATTTTCTTGTTTATTTGCTCTTGTGAACTGGCAAATGTTATTTGTTCTCTTCATGCTATATAATGTTTTTCTTTGGTTTGCCTTTCTCTGAATCTATGATGATCAATCAATTCATCAATTGTACCTCAAATACCAGCAATGAGATCTATGTTGGGTGTTAATAGATTTTTACTATCAACAAATGGTTATGGAGTATAAGTGTTTTAATATTTTTTGGGGAGGGGGGGGGGTGGAGGTAAAAAGAATTTCCCTACCGGTTTGGAACCTCTCGGTTAAAAGCTACACTTTAAGAGTGAGGGGGAAGGGTAAGGGGATCTACACCCTCAAAGTGTCCCTAGTGGAGATTGAACCCCGACCTTAAGGTTGGAAGGTCATTTCCTTACCACTAAGCCATCGCTTGTTGGTAGGTTTTTTGTCCTGTTGAGCTCCGTATTCGTAATGATTAAATTGTGAATTGTATGCCTACATTTTTTTTAGGGGACACTGCTGCAAAATATTTACACGTTTTTACAGTTTTATATTACCGTGATGCGATCAAATGGAGTAATATGTTTTGGATTATATTCTAAATGTCATACTTCCTCCATTAAATGTTAATTGCAATAAAGGAATATTTTATATCTCACAAATAATACCCCTTTGTTGCAATTAATATTTAACGGAGGAAGTACTAAAAAATCAGAAAATAGGTGAATGCCATCTATCACAAAAGCAGGTCCAACACGCCACACACACACACACACAAAAAAAAAAGGAATTGCATTAGTGCCTTAGTGGTTCTCTCTTAGCTTATGCTGTACTGTACTTTTCTTTATCTTGTCATTGCAGTTATCATTCACCTTCTACAGAAAATTCAGATGTCCACTCTCTTTAAACTATTCTTTTAGTTTTCCATTTGTCCTATGTGTGCATATATTACATAGTAAACTTATGAGCGCCTTGTCTTAGGGCCCTTGAGGGAGGAGTAAGGAGTAGGGTTTAAACCCAGGTTCCACCCTTGGAAGCACCACAATATATTGTTGTCTCTGTGGCCTGTTCATTATATTAAATATGGGCGCTGACTTTTAAGGCTTATTGTTAATGTTTACTAGTGCATTAAATATCTTTTTTATTTTGTTTCTTATGGAGATGAAGGCTCTGATTGCTGTCATAAATGCACCTCTATGTGATATCTGTCTCTATTTGATTTATTTTCTGAATTTCATGGGCATTAGAAGGCTCGCTGTCTTGCTTAAATGCTTTATTTGTACATGGTAAGTGCAGGTTTGTTCAATTGCGGATCTGTCTTCTTCAGAGACTGTGGATACTGACCTTGAATTGGGCATTGTCGATATTTTTCTTAGTCTGTGCCGGTTTGAGTGGCAAGCAGGTTATCATGAGTTGGCCACTGCTTTATTGCAGGCTGAAATAGAATATAGTTTGTTTTATCCTCCTTTACAGCTCACAGAGCAGAGTAAAAAAAGATTGTTTGAGCACTTCTGGACTAGTAATGGTGCAAGAGTTGGAGAAGATGGTGCCCTTGGTTGGTGCACCTGGCTGGAGAATGAAGAGGAAACCAGACAGAAGCTCTTGCGAGAAACGTCTGCTAAGGAAGATAAGCAAGCTGGTTGGAGTGGGTGGTTTGTCCCACCATCCAAAGCTAAGGAGAATTCACCTAATTTAGAAGATGTCAATACTGATATGGCTGTGGAGGAGGTGGAAGAACCAAAGGATGACATGGATGCAAATCAAGAAGAGGACGATACTTCTTTGCTGAGGATGTTGGGGATTGATGTCGATACTGAAGCCAACAGGGAGGTTCATGACATAAAAACGTGGGTCAGGTGGTCACAAGAGGAATTATCAAGAGACCATGATCAATGGATGCCAATTCGTTTAAACTCTGGTACTAAGCTTTTCTATTGCGAAATTTCTATTTGTGCTTTCCACTTGTGGAGGGTGGAAATCTTAGCCCTTCTTTTTTCTTTCCTTTTTTTTTTTTTAAATTCTTGTTTTTTGGGTTTTCACTACACTGCCCTCTTTTTTAGCTCACTGTGTTTTTTCTCGTTGTTTCATCTACTTTCATTTTATCAATTTTCTTTCTTTGTTCCATTTTGGCGGATTGTTTTTTATGATGATTCAGGTTAGCCGACCCCAAATCATTTTGGGACTGAGGCTTTGTTGTTGTTGTTGCTGCTTTCCACTTGTGCATAATTCCTCTGTTGCCTTTTCTTTTCCCTTGTCTTAAGTAAAGAAATAAGGCTACCAGATTTATCATGCTGGTGGTTGGCATTGCTGCTGCTGTGGAATCTTGTGGCGATGCATTTGTATTTTAGTCTGGTCTTATGTTTTCTGCCAGGTCCAATTAAGTGAGAGAAAATTTATTAATCTGCATAGCCTTTTCTTGAGATGTCTTTAATTTATGAAATGGTTGAAAAAGTGTAAGAAAATCACTGTTTAGAGTGGTTGTCTACATTTTAGAGATTTTGAAGAAGGCATGACCTTGGAACATGCATTCACTTGACCTCGGGTAGACATGGATTGACCCTTATAACTCCACTCCCATTCACTCTTGTATTTTATGGATCAATTGAACTCAATATGAGCTTGGGAATATGGTACTTTATTTTGTCTACTTGAGCTATCTTGCCCGGATAAGTCAGGAAAAGTGAAACTAATTTAAGAACATATATAACCATTTATATAACAAGAGACTTAAGTTTTACAATATGAACTCAACTTCTTTAGAATATATCATAAGTTATTAATAACTTAAGTTTTTAGGTGAACAGTGTAATTTATTACCTTCAAAACTTTTTTTTTTTTTTTTTTCAATAATATCGATTTTCAAACGAATATGAAGTTATTGTAGCTTGTGTAAATTGTCAACAACATTCCTTTGTTTTCAGAACGTGAACATGGACTCCAAAGACTAAGAGCATTAATTAAAATTTAAATAAGTTGAGTAACTTTCATTGAATTTGAGCTTGGAATTGAATGGAGGGAGTATATTCTTATTGTTATTAAATTCGCTATCATTATTGCTATTATTATTGTTATTATCAAAAGTCTCAAACCTTTTTCCATCTACTGCATTAAAAGTCTCATCTTATTTTCTTAGTACTACATATCCCGATTCTCAGATATGTAATTAAAAAAAAAAATATGATTGTTTTCTGTGCTGTTCTACATGAATTAACAATTTGCTGCACGTTTACACTCAATTCACATAGTGATTTTTTATTATTTTTTTTTTCTTACCAACAATGCAGGGGATTCTAATTGCAAGGAGGTGATCGAGGAAGAGCAGGAACAACTTTCTAGAGTCATATTGTTTGAGGATGTTAGCGATTATCTTTTCTCATTAACTTCTCCCGATGCTCAGTTATCTCTTGTTTTGCAGTTCATTGATTTCGTTGGTGGGGAGATATCTCATTGGTTAGTATTAGTGGGCAGCTCATTCTTTATATAATCATGTCTTGTTTTTTGTTGATTTTTTTTTTCATGTAGTTATTCATCGTTATTTGAAATAGGATTGGCTTTTGAATCCAATAGTTTACAATTTGTTCATTCTCTTTCCAAGTCTGCCTTTGTTTTTTGTCGAGTATTTGGGTTTTTTTTTTTTTTTTTTTTTTTTTTTTTTTTTTTTTTTTTTTATGATCAAAAGTAAGATGGATACAATTTTAAAAAGTCCTTGTAAGACTGGTAAGTTGGATATGTAGCTTAGTACAAGACTATGAAGTGCATAAACGTTCCAGGCCTTGTGTTTTGATGTCTTTAACAGAAGGTCGGCATGTGAAACATTTTTGCATCATCTTGAAATGTAAGTGAGTTCCATGTGCATGAAATGTAGCAGGGAACCGAAGGAGAATGTGATTCGGACTAACCCCTTGAAACATTCTCTCTTTCCTTTCACCCTATTTCAGTGTCATCTCTCTCTTGCAGTTCACCTCTTTTCTCTATCTCTCAGCCAGAACACCACTGTATCATGAATTTATGTGATTTCATATCATCACCAGATTCTCCACTTATAAATCTCTGCTCTCTCTCTCACTTTCTGTCTCTCTCTATGAAGGGATATGTAAGCTACTTCTATTTCCATTTCTTTCCTTAACAATTGTCCATGTATCTGTTGTCCTTTTGGTTGGGACTCCTGTGAAAAACTAACTGCCTGAAAATTGAGTGTTGGATGATAGCTAATTTTTATAATTATATCTGTAATAAAATTTTGAATATGTCAGAGATTTTAAGGATTTAAAAGCAAGATGATATTTGAGATACGATTTGCAAGGTTTACGCTATGCAAGGAATATTTGTGGAATTTGTAAGGCGCATAGCCGCACAATGCCATAATAGAGTGACAATAGAAAGCAGGAGTCATGGATTAAAATTTGCTGTAGTTATTGGATGTTGGTAAATTGTACCTGGAGTCATAGGGAGTGGCCAAGTTATGCAACATGTATTTGTGTGTGTACAATGAGCTAGCACTCAAATTGAGATACAAATATGGGTATGGCAGACCCTTAAATTATCATAGGGAAGGCTAGGGAGGGAAGGCAACTATCTTGAAAGGTTAATTTCGTTCCTATTATCTGTCTTTCTGTTCCTGGCATAATCTGAAATTTCATCAACTCATTACTCACTTTCTCTCTCTGTCTCTCTCAAATCATCAAGAAATGCACATACTTACATGAACTTAGAGAGTGGGGTCCTATTGTAATTGTGCCTGCTTTTGTTTAGCTGTATAATTTTCCTCTTTAAAAATTTTATCAAATTTGAGGATTGGTACAATATTAAGGACAGTTTAATTGAATAAACAATTTGGTTTTGGATGAACACAGAAAAAGTAAGAGAAAGTGTGGAGATGGAGACATATAAGGCTGGATGTGATTGAGAGAGGAAAGGAAAAATTTATTGTAATATATCCCAAGTAGGTGTAAGAAATATCAAGGGACCAATGGAGTAATCATAATAATTTTGAAGAGCATTATTATGTAATTGTATTATTGGCAAGTATACAGATCTTTGTTTGTAAGAATTTGTAAACTTGGATCTCATTTATCATGCTCTTGGACACAGTTTTCTGTTTTTTCTTAGATCTATGTTCTTTTTCCTTCATTGAGCAGGTTTGCAAAATTTTCTATACTTTCTGGCTCTCCTTATGAGTGGCTTCTGCAAATACTACCTATGATACTCCTCATGTCCCAAATAAGTCTCAAATGCCGTTTGCACATGTTTTTCAGTTTTTAGGAAGATAATATAGTGGATTTTAATTGATTAATAGTGAATAAAAAAACACGGTATTGGGCTTGGTTAGTTATAAAGTGAACGAATAGAGAAGATAGTAGGCTTTGGTTGATTAAAGGTGAATTAAGTCTCATCTGTCTTATGCACATGTTTTAAGAAGATAATATAGTGGGGGTTAATTGATTAAAAGTGAATTAAAAACTAAGGTAGTGGGTTTGGTTGATTATAAAGTGAATGAAAGAAAGAAGATAGTGGTCTTTGGTTCAATAAAAGTGAATAAAATAATAGATAAAGAAGAAATGATAGCTATATAGGATCAAGATTTTGGGTCAAATGAGATTTTGTTTAGGGATGCAGGGAGCAATACACTAATACTAATAGGTAGGTCAGTACATGAGGATTTTTCTTTCATCATTCTCTACTTTTCACATCATGACTTCATGAATGACTCACTTTGAGATGTGAACATGAGTATTATGGGGCATTAGATCAATAGATGTCTGCATTAATAGACAGATTTAGGTGTTGGTTTGGTTAACCTTAAAAAATGTAGGAAATGAAAATTCATGGGAATTTGCAAATGGGGGAGTTGTTTGGTTAACAACAAAAAGTGAAAACGGGGGAATTGGAAATTCATGGGAATTATGACTTCCCACAAAACATGGGAATTCACTTACCTACCTCCCCCTTGTTCACTCAAAATTCCCATGAATTACAAATTCCTTTATGAGAGCCAAACAACTTAAGGTCGTTTCCTAGGAATTGTATGAAGGAAATAAATTCCCATGAAATACAAATTACCATAGGAATTTAATCCCTATGTTAAACAAACGAGCCCTTAGTTTATTAAGGCCCAAATTCGAAGAATCACATTGGAGTCAAAGTTAAATGTAGTCACCCAATTAATTCTTTTCATACATTAATTTTAAAATGAAGCATGGGGCGGTTATTGCCTTAGTTAATGTGAATTACTACATAAATTTCTGTATTGGTGATACATGAAATGTTTGTGCAATATGGTATTCCTATGTCCTTGTTTCTCACTTACTGCCTAAATCTTGCAGGTTTTGTACAAATTCTTCATATTGGAATGAGAAAATACTGAGTCTAGAAACACTGCCAAGCTCTATTCTACAATATCTAGGAAGGGTAAATGGTACTAAAATATTGGAAAGTGATCCAAGTGCTCTCAATATGGAATCTCTGTTGAATCGTTCAGAGGCTGTTGAAAGGGCAGAGATCATGAGGTTTTTGCGCAATGCTGCTCTATTATGCTTAAAAGTTTTCCCTCGAAATTACAAGATAGAAGAGGCTATTCTTATCGCTGAAGAGCAAACTGCTGTTGCAATCAATTCATCGCAGTGTTCAACTATGCCTTCTCGGGCTTTGGCAAAGCACCTTCTAAAAAGTGATCGACAGGTATATCTGTTTATTTATAACTTCATGTTATTATCATATCCCAGGTTTCACATTGTGGAGAAAATTACATGTTGAAAACCATTGTTAGAATCTTTAACTTTTTCAACATAAGCTACTAAAATGAAAAGTGAAGGACCATTTATGTTTATTCATTAATAATCGTTAACTGTGTAGATTTGTATCTATTTGTTAGGATGTATTATTATGTGGAGTTTATGCTCGGAGGGAGGCTGCTTACGGAAATATTGATCATGCAAGGAGGGTATTTGATATGGCGTTGTCATCTATCAGTGGGCTGCCCTTGGTATGCTAGTACTTTTACTTTTTCTTGTGTTTGTTTCCTGGTAGAAAAGAATTATGTGTATGCCTTTACTGCTCGTGGACTTGTGTTAGACTATTGGACCTATTGCTCTCAAGAAAAGATCATGCCTATAACCTTTGAACTGCCGTGCAATGAGTTAGATGGGAAAAGGAGCTGGGGGGGGGGGGGGTGGTGGTAAGGGCGGGAGGGGGTTGAGGAGATCCAAAGGCTGTCTCAGTGATTCTATTTATTAATTAGAAAAGAGGCTAGTTCTGCTGGAATCGTACTAATATATGCAATATCATGTGTTGTGAAATGGTTGGGATGAAAATTGGGAAATTATACATCATCTTGTGGTTTTCGACATTTTGTTAACTTCATATTTTTTACCATTATTAGTTGTAAAAACATGGTTCTTTTGAAGAAATTCCAAAGTATTTGTGAAATTGGTTCTTTTGAAGAAATTCCAAAGTATTTGTGAAATATTTAAATATTCATGTAAGATTTCTTTTGTAGAGGCACAATTCTAAGTAGTGGTTGATTGAGAGTGAATGAAAAAAGTGGGGAGCATCATAATACTTGATGTTGAATTTTGTTATTTTACATGACTTGTAGTGGTGGACGAAGGGAGTTACTACTCCATTCTTAGATTATTTTTATCACTTATTACGACACATAGCTATAGGTGATAAGCTCTTTGATTATCATTTGTTATATTATTGAAAAAGTGCATGCAAAGGAGGTGAAGTGGTATTTTTTCATTGAAAAAGTAGATTTGATAGGAGATTATATAATAGTTTTAATGTGAGAGTGTGGAGCCCTAATGCCTTGGTTGTGGAAAGAGAGTTATGAAAATAATAGTTGGGTCTTTCCCAAGATAGAAGTGTAAAAGTTGATTTGGGACATATGAGAAAGGAAAGTGTAAAAACTACTTTGGGATAAAGGGAGTATTTTTTTCTGCAATATTTGTCTTTTATAATTATTATTTCTTGTAATAATTTCCCCACTTCCCTAGTTTTTTGTGAATTGTTGTTAGACGTATTCTTTTGTGTGCTCGTTTCAGTACCTATATCCATATATGTGAGTGCTATAGCTGCTAGCAACTCTTCTTCTTGGAAGTTGGAACTAGAGCATGCCTTTTCGTATCCTGAAATTTGAAATAGTTATCTTACCGGTTGGGTTGTGCTAGTGTTAAACTAAGTGTCTTCAAAAATAAGTAAACCTGAACTTAAGCAGTATCACTCTACCGTCAATTTTGTTTGAGCAGGAAACTCAGTCAATTGATGCTCCCTTGCTTTACCTATGGTACTCAGAGATGGAACTTGCTGATGAATTTGGTGGTGAATCAGAGTCTACACAACGTGCTCTGCACATATTATCATGCTTAGGAAGTGGTGTGGCTTATGCTTCATATAAAAGTCGACCGTCAAGCACACAATTACTCAGGGCACACCAGGGTTACAAAGAACGCCTAAATACTATAAGGGCATCGTGGGCAAAGCATGTTATAGATGAGGGTTCTATTGCTCTCATCTGTTCAGCTGCATTATTTAAAGAGCTGACTGCTGGTTGGGCAGCAGGAGTTGCAGTCATCTCTGATGCTCTTTCCATGGTGCTTCCTGGTACAGATTCTTCATTTACTCTCTGTTGCTCTTAGGTGGTTGATATTTCTTTGATTAACATCTAGAGTCTTTAACCTTATTCTTTTATGTGCTTGTCAATAAACAATTCTAGGTTAGGTTGATATCAGGAATCTTCTCTTGAAGAGTTATTAACTATGAAAAACAAAATGCCTTATTTCATTTTTTTTTTTTTTTCCTTTTCTGTTTTTAAAATTTTTTATTCATTTTATCATGCTTCTATATTGTAGTTCAATTATGGCGGGGGAAATTAATATGAAAATAATGGAAAATTTTAATGCTATCAATTTATCCTTTGATTATAGTTCATGTTCATGGAACGATAGGACCAATACCTTTTCCTTGCACCTCAAGCATACTTGGCAAATTTCTACTCTTATTGTTGGAATGATCACCTGTAGTAAATAGTAAACAAGAAGTGTGGCATCCTGGGTGTTAAAAAGGAAGTTATGCATGGTGATTGGTGAGTGACTGCAATTTAAGTTAGAGAAAATGCCTGTTGCATGACATGTGTATTGTCAGGAATGTATTCATCCCACCTTTTCCCCTCCCAAAGAAACTTATTTTCCTTAGTGCTCTCTGAGTGTATATGGAGAAATCTAGCGTATTTTTACCGGCCTGAAGTCCTATGTTGAAAATAACAATATTTTGTGTGTAATTTACTTTTGCTCATGGAACTTTATCTGCAATATACTCTCTAAGTCCTTGACTAGTTTGCTCACTTATCATGTCACATAGTTTTAGGAGATTAATTGGTGTTTATTCATCAATTGTTCTGATAATAAATAAGATATGATGGGTGAGTATAGATTTTTGTGAAATATGCGAGGGTGTGGGACCCTAACTTTATGTAGTGGAAAGGAAAAAGGTAATTAATAAATAGCGGGCCATTGCCATTTATAAAAATGGGCAAACTAATCTGTGACTGATAAAGAAAATTGAGCAAACTATTTTTGAGATGGAGGGAGTATATTCTATCGTTGGTCTTGAATTATCTGCAGCTGCAATCTATGCAAAAGCTTTCATCCTACCTGGAACCTAACTGGTTTCAGATGTAATTTTGTGATATAGATGCGAGGTTATTATCGATGTTTGTGTAAGGAATCTATACAATTTGTGGATAAAGATGATCCTAGTTAGAATTTTCAAATTGAGTATCATGAGACATGCTTCACCTCTCAGTCTTGTGTAAACTATTCACAATTACAGGTTGTCTTTCTTTATTTAGCATTCCAGTTGGGCCATTGCATGAAGTAGAGAGGTGATATAGGCTGCCTCCTAAAATTTTGCACTCAATTTGCTATGAACAAATCATGCAAGAAAGCTCAATAACATGTCTCTTGTCTCTATCTGACACCATTGAGAACCAAAGGGCCTTTAATTAATGGCATCTTGGATACTTTCTATCCTTATGATCAGGAAGTCATCCTGCGACTTTAGCAGTTGCCTACTGATGAGATTAGTGTTGGTGTTTTATTGTTGATGCATGTGCAATTTTGACTTGTATTTTTTTAAATAATTAAGTTATTGAGCTCCTTTTATTCACAATGACGTTATGAGTCCTGCATGGCCCATTGGATGTACTGGTTTGCTATGTATGATTATATGGTAGATGGTTGATGCATGGCCAATTGGATGATTTTATGTTAGAATTTGACTTTATGAATTTGACTAATTTGACTACTTTGTATCGCATGCCCATTGGTTGCATTGTTTTGCTATATATGAATTGTTTTCATCTATTGTCTCCATAATTTTGCTGCAGAAAGAAAGAGACAAAGCAACAAACTTGAATTGTTGCTCAATTTTCAAATGAGAATGCTTCTAAAGCATCATCGACAAGCAACTTCGTCAAAAGTATTGCAGTCTGTGTCAGTAGGATTGCAAGTCTATCCCTTTAACCCAGAACTTTTATGTTGCCTAATGCATCTTGGTCATCTCTACACTGTGCCCAATAAGCTTCGACGGATCTTTGATGACCTCTTCCAAAAGTAAGTTATTTTTTGGTGAGAGTTTAGTTTACTTTCCGAGTCCATGCATATTGTGTGTAATACCCTATAAATCAATTTGATACTCTTTATTATTCTCTCCATCTCTCAGTTTTTTTTTTCTTTTTTTTGGCATCGGTTGGCAGAATGTAAGATATTAATAAAAGTTGCACTCATAAACATGTAAGAGAGGGTAGGAATGTAAAGAGAGCAAAAGAACTGATGTGATCAAGAAAGACGTATATATAAACGTATGGAAAAATTATAAATTCTTGTGGGGTCTTGTTAGATTCGTCTCAATAAGAATTTTCGGGATACCAACTTTGTTAATTTTACAAATACATAAAAAATTAATGGTCAAAGTTTTTCATTGACATACGTGAAAAGGTAAAGTGTTTAAAACTTTTAGCAATAGAGGCAGTGTTTTTGCTATGAACACTCCCACTGGTTTGCTAATTTTATATAACTTGAATGAATTGGACTAAGAATTTTAATATGAAATGTTTTCTATCAGCTTAGTTTAAGAGTGGGGTCAATACCAGAAAAGGCAATTTTTAGGATTAATTGTTATTTATTCACCCTCATTGGGGATGGAAGAGTTATCATGGCCGTAGAGTAATCCCATACTTTTTCCAAATTTGTCATCCTTCATCACTTTTAGAATGGCCAGCATTTTGTCATCCTTTTCTCAATTCCAACCTTGGGCAGTATTTTAAGACAAAATAGAGGCAATACTGCTCAATCAGTTGGAGAAAATCAGATCAGTAGTAACCCCAATTCAGAGGTTGAAAAATCTATTGAGAAATGAACTACTCCCTCGTCCCTATTTCGCTGGCACACTTTCCTTATAGGGCTGTCCCTATTTATTTGACACAGTTCTACTTTTTTTTCCTTAAAAGAAATGCTCCCGCTAATTTTATATTTTATCTCACTTGTCATGGGTCCCACTTTTTTTTATCCCTACTTTTATTGAAACAATTAAAAGTTCAACTCCCTACTCCCATCAACAAAAATAATGGTCCTAACACCCTACTAAACTACAATAAAAATTACCCCACTACCAACTTTTACATAATAAAAACACTAATGTCAATAAAAATGCCTAAAACTCTGTGCCAGTCAAAATGTGTCAACTAAATAGGGACGAAGGGAGTACTATACTTTGTTATCTCCAGTCCTGTTAGTTTGCTACAACAGTTCTCTACTGCTCATCTCTGTTATGCATCTTTTTACTCCTTGTTTATTTCCTGAAGCTGATAATCTCCTAAGTTTGTCCATATCCCCATCAATAATTTAGGAGATTTCAAGATTGTCTGTATGTTTAAGATTTCTGCTTCTCTTGAATTAGCAAGCTTAATTTGGTATTCCTTTCCAAGGTATCACTTTTTTTTTTTTTTACTTTTACCATATAAGTAGAAGAACGGGAGTAGTGATTAAAATAGTGGAGGCATTCCATAGATACCAACCATGATTAATATGTGTATAGAACTTAAAGATGAAATGTAAGTAGTATAGAGCTGATGAACGAGGCTATTCACTACAGTAGAGTTAAATGAAGCATAGGCATGTTGAAACGAGAGAAGAATAAAAGTTAATGGAGGCCAATGTTGCTACTGCTATTATTGTCCTTGCTGTTAGTGCAGCTGTTGCTACGGAGAAAAGTCTGAAGGTACAATTCAAGATGCTTATCATATATGAGAGTAGACAGAGAGCAATGAGGAAGAGTCTAGTGAAGATATGGAAGTTAGGCGATGAAAATTTTCTAGATCTATTGTGACTATTGTAAAGATTTTCTGACTATATTATATTAACAATCTTCTACCCGCAAGGTTTTGTTGTTCCACCTTGTTAGTTAAATCATCTCATTTGAAATCAGCAAGTTCTGATCACTATCTATGGGTGCTTTTGATCTTTTTTTTTGAGTGCCTTGCAATTATTGACACTCACTACTGTTTTGTTAAAATTTCGGGGACATTTTTTAAAATTTGAGAACTATTTTGAATGCTGAAAAAGGCAGTACTTGAAAATTCCCATATAACCAGAGTCGATTTCTTTAAAAGAGAAAAAATTAGTTTAGTATGTTATTATATAGATCTGTATTTTTATCAAGTTAGTAACTTCGATTTTTTTTTTTTTTTTTTTTTTTTTTTTTTTTTTTTTTTTGAGGCTTAAACACCAATTGCTTTGGTTATTTTTCAGATATCTGGATGTATTCATTTTTGTATGTTGAATGGTCCAACACATGCAGATGGAAACCCTCCTGGATGGTGAATTTTACATAAAAAGAACAATAATCTGGGTCTAAAATATGCATTTGATTCTTAGAAAGAATATTACTCTAATATTGAACTTGGCTCCGTCATTACATTTTTATAAAATGAGAGATTGAAGGCTTTTGGTTGCAAGTGAATGCTGTGGTGACCAGTGGTAACTGGTGTATGTAAGAAAGATAGGTCGGTGCTGGCTTTTGGATGGAGAGAGATCTTCTGCTTTAAAATTAAACTGCATGCGTTATTGCTTATATCTCTCCTGCACTTTACCATTGATCTTGTGCTTCAATATTGATTTTTTTTTTTTCATTTTTTTCTTCTCCAACTATGTCATTACATGCATGCTTTGCTAGCAACTCAATTGTGTTTTTTTTTTTCTTCTAGGGGCGCGTGCTTATTTATGTGAATTTTGTTATGTTCACAGAAAACCATCAGTTATCCTCTGGCTGTTTTCTCTGTCATATGAACTGAATAGAGGGGCTCCTCGGCACAGAATCCATGGATTGTTTGAAAGGGCATTGGAAAATGATAGACTACGTTCATCTGTTGTACTTTGGCGCTGCTACATCTCATATGAGATCTATATCAGTAACTTTCCTGCTGCAAGAAGAGTTTTCTTTCGAGCTATCCATGCATGTCCATGGTAAGAATTTTTTTTAAGATTTTGCACAGTTTTCTGTCAGTACATAATCACCTGATTTATTTATTTATTTTAAATTGGTGTTTCTCACATGGGAAGTAAATGTTCATGGTGCTAAAATGCTGCCTCTCCAATACATTTATAGGATATATATATGCTGCTGATGAACTGCTTTTGTGATCCTTGGTCTTTATCTTTGGATTGTTGGCTATACATTAAAACACATATGCTGTGAAAAATAGTTTATATAGAAATAAGGAAATGAAAAATCTTTGCCTTCTGGGTTACTTAAACTGCTGTATAACATTGTAGTACGATTTTAATTTTTTACTTGTGTGCTTAAGCTAGTAATTTTTGCATTTGCTCAACTTACAATCAGTGATCCCAAATGAACTTATGAACAAATGACTTCCTGCTGTGAGTTCAGACTATGAAAATTTAGTGAGTGCCCCCTTCCCCAGGCTTACTCTTCAGTCTGCCCCAGTCGCCTGCTTTCTATTCAAGGAAAGTGGATGATTGGGATACAATGGAAATGATCTTAGGGTACCTAACAAACTGAAATAATGTAAGAAGTTTAAGTAACTTGATGATTAGGGCTATGTTTTCTTTAACCTATTTCGGAATTCGGATACTTATTAGTATCAGTCCACCAGATTTTGTAATTTGTTTTTGCTTATTAACAGTTATTTGGAACTTCATTTAGAAAATGCTATAATATTTGAAAGATATATGTGCTAACAAAAATCTAACAAGTCCCCACTTGATTATGTTTTTTCTTTTACTTAGCTTACATGTAGTGTCAAATTTTAATCAAAATAAGAGATAAGATTTAAAAAGACCAGATTTTCCAACCAAGTCATGTCAGACATCCTGATAACTCAGTCTAAAAGATTATAACACCTTAATCTTGGCTAAAAGATAGCCTAAGAGGTAACCGTGGACCTGGTTACAGCTTGGATGTTCTACAGCAAATTATGATTTTCAACTTGATATATACTGCGAACAAACTTCTCTAAATCTCCATCTATAATTTTGGATTTGAGAAAGATTTTTCTGATGAACTAAAAAACAGAAGAGAAACGAAGGCTATACAGCTAGAGACCTGGAATTGAATCAAATGGTGGAGACTAAAGAGAAAATTACCTCTACAAAAAGGTTCAAATAGCAGCAATATACATTCCTTAACCCCAAAATTTAGCAGGCTCATGACACTGCTACCTCCTGAAGTAAATATATGTTGAATTCTAAAATGATTAATACATTTATCAAATCACAAGAACTATATAACCAAATAATAAAGCTAATCTGCAAACACTCCCGAAGACTAAAAAAGATAAATTTGCTTCTAATGTGAATTTTTGTTATAGATTAGGGACTTGCATTTATATATATACCTGCATTAATAGTTCACCATAAGAAAAATTTGAGCTGAAGAAAATGTTTATACCATTCAGCAGAAAAGCTGAAAACTCTGCATTTTGCCAAAATCAGATCTTATCGGCCAAACCAATGCCCTGAAACGTTAGCCAAAATGATACCAAATGCAGTACATGCCCCCAGGTCAAGTACTTATGCATTGAGTTCTGGAAGACCTTTTTTTCCTTTCCAACACAATAAACTGAGAGAACTTGATGTTTACTTGCCCATATTTTGTAAAAAACCCATATATTCTTGAGCATTTTCTAACCTTTTCCAATATTCTCAACTACAAGGTCTGTAAAAAGCTTATTCCTTGGGAAACCCATGAAGAGGAACTAAGAGGAAGTTGTCTATGATGTAAAGTTCCCTGCAACACAACCAAAGCCATTTTAAGTGGAGGTGTCAATTCAACCCTAGTTCCTGGCAACACTATAATACTGCCACTAGATAAAATAAAGAAAATATAGGAGGTGGATGAAGGTATTCATGTAGTGATTGTCAAGAAGGAAAGAATGAGGGAATTATTCCCATCTTGCAGATATTAATTACCTACCACTGCACCAGGATAGTGTACTACCCAAGATGAGGGTGATATCCCCCCTTTCCCTCCCTCCTTTATTCAATTGTTAATATATTCACTTACACCACCACCTAAAATCATCATCATTCTCTTTATTTTTTCTTCATTACCCTGTTAATATGTTACCTGTAATCGAAACGTGCCCTTAGGCGATCGAGATTTTCAAAGTCCTAAAGGTGTTAGATCAGGAGAATAGGAGAAATGAGAAGCTTCAAATATCAGATCTGGAAACCCCACGTAGCAGTTCCCTTTAGTTGCAACAGCTTGTCAAAAAACTCTCTTAGTCAAACTGTTGCAGCTAAAATTGAATAAAGAAAGTACGGACTACATAGTATTAAATATCTCAGGTTTAAGAGCTTTAACATTTTAAAATTGGCTTGTGATTACAGAGCCGACGTATTAGTTTTCAAGAAACTATAAGATATCAGTCAGCAATTTTCTACTTGTAGGTGCTGCTTGTTTTTTACTGTCTACTTGTCTGAAAATTTGCTTGTTCTTCAATTTAAATGTTCACACATCAGCTGGTGCTTTGCTCTTGGTATATAAATTCTCTCCCTTGTGCTCTTTTAGGTCGAAGATGCTTTGGCTTGATGGCTTCCAGAAACTACATAACATTGTTTCTGCGAAAGAGCTATTGGATCTCCAAGAGGTGATGCGAGATAAGGAGCTCAATCTACGAACAGACATTTATGAGATTCTTTTACAAGATGAATTTAATCATTCAGGAATGAACTAACTAGCAGTATTTATCATTGTGTTGTACAGATTATAAGAGAGTATGAAATGTTAATATATGGAATATTTGGAGAGCTTCTCGGGTGTGTACCTGTTCCTTCCACTTCTTCGCGCGCATCTAATTTCTGTTAAAGTTTTGGATTAATGATTTATATATATACATATAACTAGATTTAAATTATTTTTTTTCAACAAAATTAAGTTTCTTTTTCTTGTAAATTCTTTTTAAAAATCATACATGATTGGGGGATTTTTCCCCAACCAATCATCATCTGACACGTGGACCATTCAGGCCATGCCAAGTGTCTTCCACATGGACCAGTTGGAACCTGCCACGTGTCAAGTGTTGATCAATCCACCTAGGACCAATTGTGCCACGCCACGTGGCCTCCCCTATGCCAAATGGGCAAAACAGCCACCTAGGCCCAGTCTCCGAAAGAAGCCCAATCGGCCCTAGGTTTGACCTAAACCTAGGGCTGGCACGCATCCCAAAACTATAAATACTCTAATTAATCCTCATTAAGGGGGATTCAGCAATTAATTACTCTCACCTAGAGAAGCCAAAACACCTTAATCACTCCTCACCTTGAGGAACTAGATTTCCCATCCTTTTACTTTCCGCACTATTTACTTCTCAAATACGTTCTAACTTGATCGTCGGAGGCGGAGCTCCCACCAACCGGAGTTTCCGTTGTTTTGCAGGCGCAAGGATCCCAGTCTCGGAATTGTAACTCTCCCGCAGGACATCAGAAAACCCCGAAACATTTTGGCGCCGTCTGTGGGGAGAGTACTTTCGAGATGGAATCACAGTCTGTACCGATCCTAAGTGACAAGCGTCCCACGGACGACCCCCTGGTTCAGGCGGACCAGGATACTGACAATGAGGTTGAAGTTGAGACTCACACGGCCGCCGACGGGACCTTAAGAGCTCGACAAACTCGTTCCTCCGAAAGGAAGGAGCGACAGGATTGCCTGGCTGGATCTAGTAAACCAGCATGTCAGCCACTTGATCATCAACAAGCGGCCGAGGGATCTGCCCCCATCACTAGAAGTGAACTCATGACCTTCATGAATAGCTTCAAAGGGGAGATCCAGGATCTCATCAATAAGAAGACGCCTGCTCCATCCAAGGAGCAATCGGCTAGAAGACCCTCCCAGTCGGGGAGGAAGAAGCTTCTGAAAGATCGGGAGGCGACTCCTTATCCTAAGTCTAGGAACTGGGAGCCACCTGTGATTGATCTAACTAAGTACCGCTTCCCTTCTCCGGGAAAAGAAAGCCCATCCGTCATGATCAAGCGGTTGGGTCAAAGAAAATGTACTCTGATGCTCGATTGTTGCTAGAGCAGAAGAAGAGTGACTGACTGTCAGAGTCGGCCTCTACTTCCGAATTTCAAGACAGTTTGCACAATACCTCCATGAGGTATTCACAATCAAACTATGAGAGCCAGACAGACGGTACCTCCCACTAGTCTGGCTCCCTGAAAAACCAGGCGGCTCCGTATGTGCCACCCCATCCATACGTACCGCAACACCAATATTTCATGCAGCCTACCCCCTTTGGAGGACAGGCGGCAAGAAACGTCCAGCCTTTGGACTGGCAACTTAGAACACACGTGCTTTCTAACTGTTAGACCTGACTTAGCGATTAATTGCACTTCCTGATCACTCCTCCCCGAGAGGAACCAGATCACCCTTTACTTTCCGCACCTTTTTACTCCACATACAAGTACTAACTTGATCGTCGGAGGCGGAGCTCCCACCACCCGGAGTCTCCGTTGTTTTGCAGGTACAGGCGCGAGAATACCAGTCCCGGAATTGTAACTCTCCCGCAGGACATCAAAAAACCCTGAAACAGACTCTATGTCAGAAAAATGATGTGTTAGTCCTGATAGACTTGCAAGTGGGGTCAAACCCATTAGTTGTGAAAGTTTATTCGAATTCTTCAAGCGATTGCTAATTTTTCGATTACGAAATTTGGCAGTTGGACGTCAAAACCGCCTTCTTGAAATTTTATTGATGGAGGATGTGTGTATCACACGACCTAAGGGTTTTGTGAATCCAGGAAAATCCTAAAAAGGTTTGTGCACTTCAGAAATTCATTTATGGATTGAAGTAAGCATCAAGGAGTTGGAACATTCGTTTCGATGAGGCAATCTAACAGTATGTTTCCTTGAAGAGAAAAAGAATCTTGTGTATACAAGAAGTTTAGTGGGAGCAATCTGGTCTCTTAGTCTTGTATGTAGATGACATACTGTTCATATGAAATGACATATCAATGCTTGAGTAAGTCAAGTAATGTTTAAAGAGTTGTTTCTATATGAAAGATTTGTGAGATGCCGAGTACATATTGGGAATTAAGATTCATTGAGAAAGGTCTCAAAGGATATTGAACTTAATTAAGAGACTTATGTTGATAAGGTTCTTGACAGGTTCAAGATGCAAGACTCTCCGAGAGAGAATTTCACTCCCATGTCTCATGGTATTACGCTCAGTAAAACTCAATGCCTTCAAAAGCCAGAAGAGTTGAGTCGTATAGTTAATGTAACTTTTCCAAAAGGGTCCATTATATGTCATGATATGTACAAAGCTAGATGTTACAAATGTCTTGAGCATGTGTAGCAGGTTTCAAGCAAATTCAGGATAAGCATACTGAAAGCTACTAAGAACAAATCCTTAAGTACTTGAGAAGGACTAAAGGAATGGTTCTAGTTTATGGTGGAAAAAGTGAACTAGTTGTCAAAAAGGTTATACGGACGCAAGTTTCCAAATAGACAAAGATGATTTTAGATTTGGATCTAGATACATTTTATGTCCGAATGGAGAAACGTGAGCTTGAAGTGTTCAAAGCAGAGCACTGTTGCATACTCAATGTTAGAATATGAATATTTAGCTGCAATAGAAGCAGTTAAGGAGGAAGTTTGGATAAAGTTATTTTGTGACAAAATTACCCCTTTGTCAAATCAAAGGAGTCAGGATCACATTAAAAATCCAAACATGTTAAGATAAAGTATCACCTCGTTAAGAGATCATTGGCTAGCTGGATGTCAAGATCTGCAAAGTTTCATATAAGTGAGAATATCACTTATTTACTTACTAAACCCCATCCATAGACCAAAGTATGGGAGTCATGCTAAGGCTCTTGGATTGAAGCAAGTTATGTAATTTAAGTTGTATATGTTATGAGAAAACATATTACATAAGTAATACATCAACCTTCAGAATTATGTTTAATTAGAAATTTTCATTTCTCTTATTTAATTATGGTTTTTGAAATTAAATAAAATGTCCAAAATAATTATGAATTTATGGGCTCTTCAAGTTGATGACTTATTGAATGAAACCCCACAAGTGAACAAAATTCATATATTATTTAAGTTCCTAGTTCGAAATCATTAAATTGGACATAAATGATTTCAATAAATGGACTGGCATGTAAGATTGATTAGATAGTGCAGTTTCATGGGCTATAGGGGCATAGTGATGCTCGGTCAATCACATGGATATGCATGAATGATGCATGATATAACTATTGACCTACTTTGAAGTTCAAATATAGAGCTTCTAGATATATTAGTGGATTCCTTTGACATGAGTGGAACATTGTTTTCATTCAATGATTAATTCAACTGTGGTACATTCAAACGTCGTGTCGTAAAAGGAGACTATAAAAGGTGTTTCCCGGCTACTTCAAAAGTTGAGTGGGAGCTTTGGTTGCCACAAGATTGGATTGAGTCAACCTATTTAATTAGGGAATGTGTCATGGTCGCTTGAAGAGGGAGAATTAAGAAATTACGTGGCCGCATTCAAATACATTACTCAGTAATCATTTGGTTTTGTAATTCTAAATCAGATTTAAAGAAATGATTTGTAGATTAATATGATCTCGAAATGGGATGCAATCATATTATCAAATCGACGCATATTGACTTAAGGAATTTGAATATTGCACACTTGTCTTAGACAAGTGGGAGATTGAAGGATTTATGTCTTCATCAAGTGCAATTACTAGATATATAAATGGATCAAATTATGGAGATAATTAAGTTCGTCCATTTGGGTCGTTGTTATATTATAGCTAGAGGTACTAACGATCTTTAGGCTAGTAAAATAGGCTAAAGCCCAATTGGATGGATCCTATAAGGTCAAAAAAGGGCCTAGATTGAGCATTAGAGGAAGAGGCCCATGATGGGCCTTCTCCCTCTAGGTGGCCGATCATATGGAGCATTTTAGGTGGATTGGGCTTGCTTCCTAGTCTAGTAATAATAAGATTACAAATAGACTAGCTGCCTAGGGTTGAACATAACATTCAGTGATCATTAGATCAAACCTTAATTAGCAAACACAAGCCATCCCCTTTCATACTCTCTCTCACTCTCGTCTGCTCTCCTTGGTGTGCGCCGGTGGTGTATGCACTGTGGTGGTTTCTCGTTTTGGTGGTCGGTTGTCCGTAAAGGTGGTGATCGTAGTTTTCCTCCTTCACTCGACCAATCTTGTATTGGTGGACGGCTCATTCGAATCCCGTGGACCAAGTAGAGGAGTCACGCTTGGGGCTCTATTCATTCCCTGATTTGTTGATCGAATAGCTACGTGGAATTCACGCTTCAAATGTACAATTATGTGATTCTTGTGTGTTATGCATGTGAACGCGGGAAAATTAGGTCGTTAACTAACCTCCTAGCGATCAAACAAATTTATAAATTCTAAACTAACCCTTAAACAAGTCTAGAGGTAAGTTCGAAGTCGAACCACAAGGAACGGTAATGCTATATTATTCTCGATCTAATGCTTAAGCTACGCCGAAGTCGGTTCATGGATAGAGGACACTACAACTAACTTAAAACACATATAAAGAACAAGGTATAATAAAGTCTACTAGGGGCAAAGATCCACTTTGAACAATTAATAAGCTGATGAGAATCCATTTGATAATCAATTATGCTAAGAAATAATTAAAATGGGAATTAATTACACTCAAGAGCAATCTCTCAAATTCCTAGCCTAGATCCCTCTATGACTAGGTGCATAAAAGAAATTAACCCAAATTGCAATCAAATATATCAATTCTAATTCACAATCC